CCCCCCCACCGACGCGCACACACCCCGTTTTGCAGGCTTCACTTCACTCCCGGTCAACGGTCAACCGCATGGCAGATTGGATTGGACGAGACTGGCTGGACAGAGACGCCTGCCTCGACCGCCTGGACTGCATCGCCTGTCCAGCAGCCCCCCCTCCCCCCCCCTCCCCTCGTTATGATTATCGCACCCTAACGCCTACAAGCGCGACAACGAGCGGGTGTCAGGCGAAGGTGGAGGTGGGAAAAGTCACACCTCGCTCTCTTTCTCTCTCCTCCTTACACACATGCAAATTTACACACGCTCAGTCGTCGCCAGAAAATGGAAAAAGTGCAAACAGTACAGTAAAAAAGAGAATTCGCAATGTGCCAGCCCCCCCTCCCCCCTGTCCCCCGCGGGCCTGGCGCAATATCTGGACCACTGCAGTGCTCAATGTGGTCTCAAGGACATGCAGTTTTTCTCATCTGATTCACCACACAAGAGTGCGGAATAATAAAGTACTTGGAGCGGCTTACGAGCAGACCCTCTACTCCTCATGGGGCCCCGGCCCGGCCCCAGCACGGCGCCCCACGCACACCCCTCCTGTTGTGCAACCCGACACAGGAGCGGTGCATGTCCGTCTCACCTGCGGCTGCCTGCGGTGTCCATCTCGCGCCGCGTTCTCTGAATCGGGACAAGTAGCTGAGCTGCCTGCTGGCCGGGCTGGTGGCGGTGACGGGGGGAAAAGGGGGTACTCGCCCCCCGGCGGGCGGCCGCAGCCACAAGGCAGGGGGCCCTTCCTTTGTGTACCCTGGACACTCGACACCTCGGCCGACGACGTGCAAGCGCGTGCCCGAGTCGGGCCGCCCTCTGGGGCACCTCCTGCGGCCTGGCCGCCCGGTCGACGAGCACCTCTCACTGGCTCGGGCCACCGGAGCGCAGCGGCCCGGGACACGATACGCGACACGCCTCGAGGACAACCCGGTCCTCCCGAGGGGCGGACACCCTCAGAGGTCATCCCTTGGGACACCCCCTGAGGTAACCCCCGGGAGCACCCTCTGAGGACTCCGCGAGGACAACCCCGCAATAAGCGCGGGCGACATTCTGTTCCCCTTCTGCTTTAACTTCGGCTGTGACGCGCCCGGCCCGGGCCGTTCCCCATGACAGGCCACTGACTCGTTTTAATTCTCGGTGAACTTACGAGGCACAGTAATTGTTTTTCCGAGCGGCGTGTTGTACGGGGCAGGCGACTGTGTGGGGCCTCGCCCTCGCCTCGCCGCTCCAGGCCACGGCACCGGGCCCCCGAGCACGGCGAGCACGGCGAGCACGCCGCCGCCCTGCTTGGGCCCGGGAAGTGCCCGGCGGGGCCCGGCGGGGCCGCGGGCGCGCGCCGTGGTGCCAGGCCGGGCCCGGGGCACAGCCCGGACCGGGTGAGGGGAGATGTCCCGTTAATGAAGTAATTTGAGGGTACTGTTCGCATACCGGGCCGCCGGCTGGCGGACGGCCTGACCCCGCTCCGGCTGCAGGCCAGGCAGCAGCTCGAGCCAAAAAAGGGGCGGGCATGCAAATCAGGTCCGCGTTCACCACAGTGGGAAACAACGTTATATACAAACGCTGAAATTTATTTTGCATTTCGGTGGCGTCCTCGCCGGTGCGCGCGCTCGGCTCGCTCCCCGCGGTGTAGGTAGGGCCTTGCACACGGTGTGCGCCGTTGGTGTTGCCAGGCGCATGGCGATAAGCACGCCCATGGCGCCCTGCTGCGCGTCATCCCGCAGGAAAAACGGAACTATCACTTTGCAAATGTTTGCATGGAGGGCCGTAACCCACCAGGGCACCCGTTGGGTACCCGCGGGACTCGGGGGGCCGGCGCGACCGCGAGCGGGGGGCGGGGCGAGGCCACCGCCGCCACCCGGCCCCACCGCACCGCGGCTGCCTGGCAGGCGGGCGAGCGGGCTCCCCAGTGACGCGGGAACACGCTCAATGTCCGCCGCCCGGCCGCCCGGCTCGGGTGGTGGGGGTTACGGGCTCGCCCGCCGCAGCGTCTCCGTGGGGGGATGTAGCTCAGTGGTAGAGCGTTCGCTTTGCATGTGAAAGGCCCCGGGTTCGATCCCCGGCATCTCCACCTCTTTTTGGCGCGTGGTGGCGCCCGCCATTGTTCTGTTTCCACGGTTGCGAGGGTGGTACGCGACGTCGCCTTTTTCACTGGTGTTATGATCAATCGTCGAGTCCCGCGAACGGTGTCGCTAGTCCCGAAGGACGCCCCGGGATGGACATCCTTGAGAGGGACGACCCGCCGCTCGACGCGAAGCTCGCCGAGCCCATCGTCTGGGGGACGGTGGCCGGGTTTACAGCGCAGGAGCTCAAGCCAGACCTGTTCGACGAGTGCCTCAAGCTGATAAAGGTACTCGACCAAACCCCGGCGGTTCGGTTGACGCGCAACGCGTAGGTCACCGCAGGTATTAAAACAGTTCCTTCCGCCAGAGGTACCTGATCCCGGAGGAGGCCATGTGCGTCGCCCTCGATTTACGGGCGGACGCGGAAGGGTGCGCCTCGTTCCTGGCCAACGCGAAGGAGTGCATGAAGGACGGCACGTCCATCGTGGTTCTCAAGGGGGAGGACTACGACGACGACGATGAGGGCGGCGAAGGGAAGGAGGACCCACTGGATGGCGATGGAGGAGAACAGGGCGTGTCAAAGAACAAGGAGGTCGTTGAAGGATGTCGGGAGGACGGCCAAGGTGAGCTGCTCAAGAAGGGCTCTGATGTGGCGAACGTCGCGGAGGAAGCTCTAGCGAGCGCCAACCACACCGCGAACGTGCAAGAAGAACCCAGGCCGAACCTGGAAGAGAAAGAGGGAAACGCGGAGGGGAATGAAGAGGGGGAAGACAAGGAAAAGATTATTGAAGAAGTGAAAAATGAAAATGAATTCAATATGGCAGATGATGAGAAAGAAAATGGGGAGAGTTTGATAGATAATGCGGGGACAAGGCAGGAACCAACAAACAATGATAATGAAATGGATAACATTGAAGAAGAAGGGATAGTGGACGACAAAATAAAACCAGATAAGAAGGAGGTAGAAGAGAGCGAAGAGAGGAATAACGAAGATGAAGTGAAAGAAGATGATGATTCCGAGGAGGAACGCCGTAAAAAGAAAAGAGAGAGAAGAAAGAGGAGGCATAAGAAGCGCGAGAGAGAACGGGCGAGGAGGAGGAAGGCGGAGGAAGGCGTCACGGAGGAAAATGAGGCTGAAGGCGACGACAACAAAGAAGAGGGGCAGAAGGGCGATGGTGACGACGAGGAGGAGGAGAAGGAGGACGAACGGGAGGAGGACGACGACGATGGCGACTCCCGCGTGGTGGCCGTCATGGTGGCCAGGGTGGTGCAGCGCCTCGAGCACATGAGGTCCTTCAGCAGGATCAAGGTGAGCCTAGCACCAGATACGAAATCCGCATTTTCCTCTTGCAGACTTATATATTCATAGGATGCGCAGAGCGAATCCAATCCTGCAGCGCGGCCCCAGCCCCAGCCCGGCCCAGCAGAGCCCAGCGCACCAATAACTCAGGATTTGGAACCAGATCTCCGTGGAACTGGCGCGCTCTCAGTCCATATTTTCTCGCTCGTTGGTACCCCTTCGCTGCCTGCTTTACGACGCAGACTCTCTGTGCTGGTGTGCTGCCGCAGGTCGTCCAGGGCGAGGCGTACCAGAAGTGGTTGGCACTGCGCTGCCACCTCCAGAAGACAGCCAATTTGTTCGAGGAGTTCGACGTCGACACGTACTACCGATTGTATCACATTGTGGTCCACCCGGACCATCGTAAAAAAGGTGAGTGTGGGACTGGCCGAGCCACGCCAGGCGAGGTGGGGTTTTTATTTTCCCGGGGCACCAGCGTGCACCAGACACACGCATACACATACGGTAACGACACCCCCCTGTTGCGTGAGAACAGAAACAAAAATCAAATAAATCGAGGCGCGCCCGTCTGGTGTTTGAACCCGAGCCAATCGTTTTCCAATTCCATTAACGACCACCCACCTCACGGCGCGGCCGCACGGCCGCACGGCCGTACGGCCGGACGCGCACGTGCTGCAAGTCGGTCACGGTGCGTGGGCCGGGGGGCCGGGGCCGGGCCGGGGCGAGGTGTCACTGCAGGTGCAGCAGGTCCGTCCTGGTGGTGTCAGGTGTCGGGTCGTTCCTGGTGCGGCTGGCGGCGCAGCGGCTGGCGGGGCTGTTCGCGGGGCCCGGCGCCACCGTCTGCACCGCCGTGGCGCCCTCCAGGGCCACCCAGCGGCTGCTCGCGCGCCAGGGCTTCCGCCCGCGGGTGCTGCTCAACTACCACGAGTGGAAGGACGAGCAGGGCCAGCAGGTCATCTCCGGTGCGGGCGTCGGCAACTACAACGTGGCCCTCACCGTGTACGAGGTCAGGCTCCGCAGGGTGGTCGACAACGGCGCCCCCGGTCGGCGGCCACCCCTGCTGACTCGTGTGAGGTCGACAGGTGGCGCCGCGGGAGGAGGGAGAACCCCCAGACGTGAGCCCGATGCTCGAGTCCACCGAGGAGACCGAAGAGGAGCCCGGTCCGCCGACGGCGTTCCCCGGGCGCGCCCTGGGGCTGGACAAGCCGCCGGCACCCGAGTGCCCGCCCGCACACGAGGAGCCGCCGTTCGCCGTGGCCGTGTCCGCCTCGCGGCCGCCCAGCGCGCCGCCCCTCGACCTGGCGGACGCGGCCGACCTGGACAGCGGCGCAGAGACCGGGGAGACGGACAGCAGTAGCAGCAGCAGTAGCGGCGGCAGCAGCTGCAGCGTCGTCGAGGGCGCCCGTGGAGGCGGCAGTGGCGGCAGCGGCAGCACCGAGCCCAGCACCTGACAGCTGTCAGTCCCTGCCGGTTAATTACACCCCCTGATGTGATGTGGAGCAGCTAGGCTCCGTTTTCTCGGATTTGGGATTCATTTGTTTTCCTCGTCGTTCGCCCCGCTAGGCCCCTCGGGACAGGGGAGGGGTAGGAAAAGAGGGGGGGGGGCACACGATGACAGCGCCACGATTGGCTTGAGTGAACACATCGCCCACTGTCGTCGCGCTGGGAGGTCCACGCGCGGGTCCCCCCCGTCTGTCTGGACTTGATCGAGCTTTGGAAGTCGGAGCGGGAAATCGCTAAATCATGCGTCCGCGGCATCGAAACGTAAAAATTTCTCATGCAGGACACGCGGTCGACTGGTTCGCGGCGTGGCGCAGGACGTGCTCCTGCTAGCCACTCGGCCAGCCCGCCCCGCCCGCCTCACTCAGCGCCCGGGCGGCAGGCAACCAGCCCGCTCCCCAGCGAGCACGTTGCCTACCTGCCCGGCCGCTTCAGCGAGCAGGGTTGGCAGAGACATCGCGTGTTGAGCGGGAGCCCACCGCCGAGGGGCCGAGTAGAGGTAAAGCCTGGCGGGGGTGGCGGCGGCGGGCCCAAGGGGCGCTTTACGACAACATGCAGCGGCCATGCCGGCACCCGTCAATCGGTTTCATAACTGGGAAGAACACGCCCTGAGAGCTCTTCGGCGGTACTCGCTAAACCCATCGATCCAAAACGACGTGCGCCACTTTCACTTCACTTTGATACCGTAGGTCTCCATAGACCTGTGGTTTTCACGTGGGTCTACGAGCAACCCCGCTACTTGCGTGCCTCCAGGTGTAAAGACAGAACGTTCCCACACGTTCCGCTCGCCACATTGGAGCCAGGCTCTATCTAAACGCGGTAGAGCTGCGAGCAGCGACCAGCGTCCTGGGGGCGTCGCGGCGGAGCCGCGGCGCATGTTGAAGCTTCATATTCCCGGAGTCTTCTTTGGGTAGTGGCCCTTCACTGTAGTCTCCGCCGAGCGACAACCCCTCCGGT